CAAGACTAAAACATGCATTATTGGTGCAAATCTTTTGTGAATGACATGTAATGCAAACATGTTCCAGATAGAGGACACATTCGGCTGCTAACAGCATGGTCAGCAGGTTGAAACTATAAGCTACTCTTTGGGAGAAAAAGAAGGCATTTTATTGCCATAAAGAGTTACAGTTTCAGAAAGCCAAAGGGGCAGTTCTACCCTGTCCTGGAGGGTCACTGTTAGTTGGAATCCATTTGATGTCATGGTTAATCCTTTGAAGCCCAACCAAACAAAACCAAACCCACTGCCATGTAGTCCATTCCAACACAAGGAGACATAGAACGGGGTAGAGCTGCCCCTGTGGGTTTGGGTTTCGGAGACTGTAACTCGACAGGCACAGAAGGACTTATGCTCTCATGGAGCAGCTGGTGGTTTTAAACTGCTGGCTTTGGAGAATGCAATCCAACATGTAATGACTACACTGACTACACCCCCAGAGACTCCTTGTAGCCCAAAGGGGATTTGTTATTGATTACCAGTAACTAAGATGGACATAAAAAAGTTCGTGTGATGTACAGGATTATGAATTGGACTGCTAACCACAAGGTCAGCAGTTTGAACCCACGAGCCATCTGAAGGAAAGAGAGATGAGGGTTTCCTTTCTCATAAAGATTTATAGCCTCTGAAACTTAAAGAGGAAGTTCTACTCTGCCCTGTATGATTGATATGAATCAGAATTGACTTGATGGCAGTGAATTTAAGACTGATATCTTTAAAAACTGGCCCAGTCTCCCGTAGTGAGTTATAGGAAATTCATTTAACCAGTTTTGATTCAGTTTTCTCATCCTTAAAAGACAATGGTAAACAAAACTGTCTATAGCTCTGTGGTTTATTAAAGTTGGCTTGACAATCTTTGCTATTCCTGTCTCCAAGGACTGGAGTCTAGTTCTTATCTTCTTGAATTTGGTTGACTTTAATTGTGTTCTCAATCAACAGAATGCATTAGAAATAAGATTCTGTGACTTTGGGGACTAGACAATTTGAAACTCTGCAGCTTTTGGCTATCTCTCTGAGAATGTTACCACTAGGAAAAAACTCGGGGAGCCGGTACCCACTATAGAAGAAGCCCCACTATCCCTAGACAGTCATCATGGAGAACCACATGTAGTGCTCTGGCTAATGACCTAGCTGAGTTCAGCTTTCTAGTTACTTCAGCCAAAGCACCACAGATGAAACTCATGTATAAGAGAGAGTTTCATATAAAGGGTAAGTGCACATCAAGAAAACATCCCAACCCAGTGCTGCCCAAGCCCACAAGTCCAACATTAACCCATATGTCCAAGACCAATCCACAAAGTCCTCCTCCATCTCACAAAACACACACTATGATGTCGACTGCAGGAGGAAAGCCCAATCAGTGAATGTGTAAGGATCTCAGCACTGGTAGGGGTCTCCACACAGCTGCTCCAGTACCCAGGGCTGCATCGGGGTAGGGCCATGTGGCTTCTCCTCAGAGATGTCTTGCAGGAAATGAGCCTTGCCAGCCAAAGCAGGGAACTAGCTAAGGCAGCTGCACCCTGGTCCAACCATCAGAAAGCAAGAGACCTGAGAACTAGAAAAGCGAGGCTCGCTGAGCCATTTATCTCTCCACCCTTCAATTAACCCCACATGTGTTTATTAGCCAGGTTGGCACAATAAACTACCTCAGATGCATTAAATTTCCTTGAGCCTTCCAGAACAGCCTACCCACCAGTTGGATGGAACCTTATAAAATGCCATTGGGTGAACTCATATGACTCCGTAAAGAACATAAACCCACACATCAGAGTCTTTACCCAATTTATTGACTAGAAGTCATGAAATATAACAAATAGTTGTTTGTTGAAAGACATCAAGTTTGGGGGTAGTCTATTAGACTGAAAAAGAAAGCTAACTAGAAAGGGCTTAAGAAGATTAAATGAGTTAATGTATATTTAACAGTACTATGCTTGTCATGTGGTGAAAACTTCATGAATGTTTGCTGATATTATGATAATACTATGAAATAACTTCAATTCTGAAAACTTCATTTGCGTGTATCTCTGTGTGATATTTATAAGCATGGAGGAAATGAGCACAAAATAAAAGGCAATAATGTGACGTGCTTTCCTAAAAATAGTTTTTTTTTTGTTTAAAAATATTTTATTGTCATTACTATAGAATACAAATGATTTGATATTTTATTTTGCTTCCAAAACATTTTATTGGGACAGAACCCATATATAATACCATTCAATAGTTCAGTCATATCTAGCAATGTGTATAGTTGCTACCACAATAATTTTGAAAATATTTTCTGACCCACAGAAGTGTAGCTGAGTGCAGACCATCAATTGCTGATATGAAACTTTAAGGTTGAAGCTGATGAAAATTAAAACAAGTCCTCAGGAGACAATATGTGTCCCTCTCGAACTTAAAAAAAAAATCTTAAAAAAATATTTTTCATTTTATTTTATTTTACAAGTTTTATTGGCATATAATTCACATATCATACAATTCAATTGTTCAAGCACACAAAACAGTTGTACAATAATCACTGTTTTAGAACATGCTCTTCATTATTACTCATTATTATTAGTTAGCAATTTCCCTCAACCTCCCTTGCCACACCCCCAAGGACCATTAGTCCAGTTACTGTCTCTATAGATTTCCCTCCCTGGATTTCATATACCTAAAAAACATTAAAAAAACAAAACAAACAATAGCACAATCAAACAGATTAAAATCTCAAACAAAAAGAATGCCAAAAATATTAAAGTACAGAACAAATTTAAATGGATCATAAAGGAGATCATATGACAGGGTGCTAAATTTTAACCTAACTACATCTGCAACAATCCACTTTCCAATGTATTCTGCATGATAGCAAAACGATTCACATCCTTGGCTCACCTGAACCTTGAGACCATTTCAATAACAGATTTGTCACATTGACCACTGGAAAAAGACCTTAAGAGTTGTGGGATGACATCAAGAACATCATATATGATGCACATTTCATTGTCTTTTTTCTTCATATCGAGGAAAAGGCTATTTCTGATATGCCAGATGAATCATTGGAGGTAAATTAGCAGTGTGACTACTCTAGCCATCGCTGTCAGTCACCTCCACACATTAAAAAAAAAGAACATCATATATGAAGAAAGCAAAAAGTAACTAAAAAGACAGCTGAGAAAGAAAAGATGAGCATGTATGTCAGAGGAGACTTGCCTTTGCTCTTGAGCATAGAGTAGCTAAAGCAAATGGAAGAAATGATGAAGTAAAAGTGCTGAACAGAAACTTTGAACGAGCAGCTCTAAAAGATAATGTGTTATAACGAAACGTGCAAAGACTTGGAGTTAGGAAAGGAAAAAGGAGGAAGAAGAACACACTCAGCATATAACAAACTAAAGAAAGAAAAATAAATTAGAGTTGACAATATTGATAGAATCTATAGGTACAATGCTGAACCATAACAAAGAAAAAAGAACAGTCACTATACCAAAAGGAATTGTTCATCATTCAACCATTTTAAGACATATCATATGATCAATAACTGATGGTAATGGAGGAAGTTGACGCTGCCTGAAGGCATTAGCAGAAAAACAAGGCACTAGGAATTGATGGAATGCCAATAGAGCTATTTCACCAAGCTCTTGCAGCACTGGTCCACTGACTGGCTGGGAAAGATGCATATTTTTTGCCCATTCCAAAAAGAGGAGACCCAACAGTATGTGTAAATTATTGAACAATATCATTAATATCACATGTCACTACTTTTTTGCTAAATATAATCCAACAATGGTTGCATCTGTGCACATACCAGAAGCTACCAGAAATTCAACAGATTCAGGAGTGGATGTAGGATGAAGGATATTATTGCTGATGTCAGAGATAGGTTGCCTGAAAGCAGAAAATAACAGTAAAGTGTTTACGTGTATTTTATTGACTATTCAGAGACAGTTGACTGTGTGGAACATAACAAACTATGGATAACTTTGAGAAGATTGGGAATTCCAGAAGACTTGATGGTTCTCACGAGGAATCTGTTCATGGACCAAGAGACAATTGCTTGAACAGGAAATAGTGCGTGAGTTAAAATCATGAAAGATGTGCCTCTGGATTGCATTCATTTATCCTTCTTGTTCAATTTGTATGATGGACAAGTGATAAGAGAAACTGGACTATATAAAGAAGAGCATGGCTTGAGGACTGGAGAAAGGCTTACTAACAACTTACTCTATGCAAATAACACAACCTTGCCCGCAGAGAGTGAGGAACACTGAAGCACTTGTTGATACAAGCCAGCAATGTCAGGCTTCAGCATGCATTTCCACTCAATGTAAAGAAAACAAACTGGGGTTACAGCTTGGGGACAGCGCATGTTGGATTAGAGCACACGGATGGAGAGGGAGGAGAGGACATTCTGGCCCACCAAGCCCCAAGGACGATGCTTCTGCTCAGAGCAGAGAATGCACGGGGAGGACTGTAGGGCTGGCCCCACCACTGGACACAGTGTCTCTCACTGAACCATGGTCCTGCAGGGGACAGCACTGGATACACAGGGTGGGACTAGTGCACTGTCAGTCCTCATCATGCTGGGACGAGGCACTGAGGGCATGCAGCAGAGCAGCAGGGGGAGCAGGGTGATGAAACCCCCAGAGAATACCCAAAATAGACTTTGGAGACAGCGTGTGGCATCCCATCAGACTCGACTAGAAAACATCGTAAAGGATCAACAAACAGACCTTGAACTATTTGTAGGCTTCTCCATTTTTGTCAGTGGCTTTCTTTTTGTTATTGTTATTTTGTTCTTGCTTTCTGCTGCTGTTGTTATTGATTTATTGGTTTTGACTTCCTTTGTTGTTTTATTTGGCTTTGTCTGATTTTTGCACTTATTAATGTATCTGCATGTCTGTCTAGATAACATGAGCAATTCAGAGATGAAAAGAATGGGACCAATGGTTCTGGGGGCAGTACGGGAGAAAGGGAGGTGGGGGAAAGGTGGAGAGGGGACAAACCCAGGGACAAAGGAACCACAAGTGAACTAAAATCAATGGAAGAAATGTTGTAGGATGCCTAGTGGGGCTCAATCAAGGGCAATGCAGCAGTGAGGAATTACTAAACCTGAAAGAAGGCTGAACATGATGGTAGAACAAGAGGGAAGTTAAAAGGAAATAGAGGAAAAAACCAGGAGGCAAAGGACATTTATAGTGGCCTAAATATAGGCATGTACATATGTAAATATATATATATATAATGAGAAGGGCATAGAACTATGTATTCATATCTATATGTCAATAATTAAGGTTGCAGATGGACATTGGGTCTCAACTCAAGTACTCCCTTAACACAATAACACTTTGTTCTAACAATCCAGCATTCTGTGATGCTCACCTTCCCGACATTATTGCTGAAGACAAAGTGGGTGCATAGGCAAATGTGGTGAAGAAAGTTGATGGTGCCCGGCTATCAAAAGATATAGCGTCTGGGGTCTTAAAGGCTTGAAGATAAACAAGGGGCCATCTATCTCAGAATCAACAAAGCCCACATGGAAGAATCACACCAACCTGTGTGATCATGAGGTGTTCATGGGATCATGTATCAGGCATCTAAGACCCAGAATAAAATCATACCCAAGGTGAATGGCCAGAGGGGCATGCAGTGGGGACCTAATGCCCATTGGACATACCCTCACAGAGGGGTGAAAGAGAAGAGATGAGCCAGTCAGGGTGCAGCAAAGCACCAATGAGGCATACACCTTTCCTCTAGTTGTACTTCCTTCCCCCCAGTATCATGACCTCAATTCTACCTTACAAATCTGATTAGACCAGAGCATGTACACTGCTACAGATAGAGCCCCAAAAATGGGGAATCCAGGATAGATAAACCCCTCAGGGACAACAAGGAGAGTGGAGATACCAGGAGGATTAGAGGAGGCTGGGGGGAGAAAGGCGGCATCGATCACAAGGATCAACCTAGAACCTCCTTCCAGGGGCACGAATAATGGAAAAGTGGATGAGGGGTGATGGAGGATAATGTAAGACATAGAAAAAATAATATATAACTTATCAAGGGTTCATGAGTGAGGGTAGGAGCGGGAGAGATGGGGAAGAAATGGGGAGTTGATATCAGGGGCTCAAGTAGGAAGATAATTCTTTGAAAATGATGATGGCGATATACGTGCAAATGTGTTTGACACATTGGAGGAATGTATGGATTGTGATAAGATAAGATCCCCAATAAAAGTATTTTTAAAAAAGATTGGTGGGATAAATAATTTGGAGATGAAAAAGAATGAGACCAATGGTTCTGGGGGGATAGGGGAGAAGGGGAGGTGGGAGAAAGGAAGGGATGAGGGAACAACAAGTGAACTAAAATTAATGGAAGGAAGGTTATAGGATGCCTAGTGACATCATGCTTAGTAAATCAAGGGTCTGGTAAATAAAGAAAGACCCTCGATGAGATGACAAGACTGTGGCTGCAACAGTGGGCATCAGCCTAGGAATACTTGGGAGGAGATGCAGGACCCAGGTTGTATTCTGTTCTGTAGGGCAGAGGTTCGCAGTGATAGGGAATCAGCTCGATGGTACTTGGTTAACAGCATAACAACACCTTCACTCAGCATAATGTCCTCTAGTTTCATCCATCTTCTGAGGTGTTTTGCAAACTTGTTGTTATCTGTTTAATGTTGTACAATATTTCACTATGGTTATGTACCATGACTTCTTTATCCATTCATCCTGTGAAGGACACTTGTTTCCATCTTTTTAAAATTTTCTATTGCAAAAAAATATGCTGCAATAATAGAGTATCGTGTCGGATTGAGCCACTGGCAGATCCTCTCTAGCCACAGGCAAGAGTCTCAGAAAGCCTTATTATCAGGCAGAGACCACTGTAATCTTGATTATGCTGCGTAGAACTCTATAATTGTCCAACTGAGCACCTTATAGATAGGACCTGAATTTGTTCTGGGTGAAAAAACCTTTTTTTGGTTCCATAACAGAAATTTCTTCCCTGGCTTTTTAAATGTTGCTGTTTTTTTTTAACCGCCTTCTTACAAATTATTTGTATTTTTTGTCTATATATTATTATGTTTTAAGTGTGATTTTGTTTTTTATTGTTTTCTGTTGGGTCTCCCAGCTGTGAAGCAGGGGAGTATTAGCTGTATAATAAGAATAACTGATACAAGGGCTATAGAGAATACAGGGGTGGGGGTAGATGATAGAAAATGTGTTAGTCTGGGTTAACTAGAGAAATAAATTCATAGAGCCTCATATGTGTATAAGAGAGAACTTTATATCAAAGAGTAATTGTACATTGAGAAACATTCCAGCCCAATCCAGATCAAGTCTATAAGTCCAATATTAGCCCATATGTCCAATACTGGCCCATAAATTCCTCTTTAGACTCACGCAGCCATACAATGATGCTGAATGCAGGAAGATCACAGGCCAGTTGTTGGAAAGTCTTGTAGATCCAGTGACAGTGGAAGGATCTCAGCCCTGGTGTGGGTCTCCAGGTGAATCCTCCGGCTTGAGGGCTCTGGCTCTGTCACTGTAGCTCCAGGGGTCTTGTCAGGAGGAATGTCTCGCAGGGAGTTGTTAAATCTCTCGAGGGAGAGATATACTCCGTCCTTGGCTCCTCGGGAGAAAGAATTCATGCTGAAGCCTGGTTTATGATCCTAGTGGGTTTATAGAGAATAGTAGCAGTTTCAGGTTCTACAATAAATGGAACACAAGCCAGGCAGAGTCCATGGCACAGTTGCAGGACTGCAGCCTGCCTGCTCATGACATTGTGTTGCAGTCGCTGGGAAAGAGAGCGCCAGAGCAAACCATCTGGCCTTTTCAAGGGCCCCGCTGTGAGGCGTGGTCAACAATACTAGTCGACCTCATTGGCTGAATTGAATTCAGCCAAATGGCTTAGATGGGCCAATCCAGGTGTATCACCCACCTAGGTGTACCACCCCTTCCTGGCCAGAAGCTCGAACCTCTGAGCATTCGTAATGGATGCCCCAGTCCTTATGCTAAGCTACTTAACAGAGTAAGTGTGTCTGTCATGCCTCCAGTGAGCTATTTATCTCCCCAGTGTCTCCAAATGAGGTCATCAAACTGCGACTTGATTGACAGGCTAAATTC